AGTGATTGACAGGGCGGGGAAGAGTGTTTCAAACATGTGTCTTAGACCTCTTCCACCTCCTCTGAATGCGTCTAAATTTGTATAGATTGGGAAGGGTTCTGTAAGGCGCAGAGCCCCATAAGACAGATGTTTTTGACACCAGCAATTGCGTGCTGTAGACAGATTGCCGCGATGGATTTGTTTTCCTGCTTATTTTTACTTATTTTTTCTATGCTTTTTTTTAGGGGGGGGGAGGGCGGATTTCACATGGAAAGGGTTGTATAATCATAATCCTCATTTCAAAGCACGTTTTCATCTTTCATGCAAGGCCCATCTTTTGCTTTCGTGTCTGCATTTTTATGAATGTCTGTATGTACTTACTCCCTTTATCCTCATTTTCCACTTCCATTCCCCACGTCTTCTCATCCCCCAAGTCGGACTCAAGTTACTAAAACAGCCAACAGCATAGGGTGCTGCTGTTGACCTGACTCTGTTTCTGGATTCATCACGCAGCGCGCTCTCTCTAAGATCCACCTGTGTTGCGGGTCCTGTATCCAGGGCTTAGCTTCTCACTGCTGCATAGTAGTCGGTGTGTATCCACCACAGTTTACAGATCCGTTTCCTGTGATAAACTTCCACGTTGCCTGGATTCCCCGCCACCATAATCAGTTCTGCCTTTTACATTTGGAGGGAAGATCCATTTCGAGTTAATTTTTGTGAAGGATGTAAGGACAATGTCTTGATTCATTTTCGTTTTGCATGAGGCTGTCTGGTTGTTCCAGCGCTGTTTCTTGAAAAGACTGTTCTTTCTTCATGGAATTGCCTTTGCTCCTTTGTCAAAGATGAGTGGATACCATGTGTGTGGATCTATTTTAGGGTTGCTACTGTTCCATTGATCTCTTTGTCTGTTCTTTCAAAAATTTCACACTGTCTTGATTATTGCGGCTGCTTTTTAAATGTGTGTTTCATAACTTGTACTTTTAAAAAAGGATTTGAGATGATTGCAATTTCAGTTACACTGTAAACAGGACACTTTTTTTTTTGTTTTCTTTTTTTTTAGCTGAGCCATCCTGCCACCTGTTGGCAGCTCAGCGGCTGCTCAGCTCGGGCCGGGACTCGAACCGCTGTTGCTCAGAGCTCAAACTCTTGAGTGAGCTCTTAACCAACTGAGCCACTCAGCCAGCCCACGTAAACAGGACACTTTTAATAAAAAAAGATAAAAATTGTAAAAAATGAATTCACTGATTCTTCTGCCAATGGCTTCTATCTTTCAAAGGCTAGACCACACAGAAGTATTACAATAGGGTATAGAAAGGCCTGAGGACTTTTTACCTGCTGTCATTTCTTTGACAACATTGAAAATTATAGTTTAGACAGAGAAATTCTGAGGTTGGGTTATTCTTAAATATCATTGGTTGCCTTTGAGTTTGTGGTGATTCTTTAGTTAGTATTACATAGCTACCTATAGACAGTTCATTGAAAACACATCTTAGTATTTTAGCTATATTAAAAATTGAACCAACAACAAACGTTTGTTGAAATATGCATGTATGTGAGTCTGACTACATTTTTTGGAGAGATTTCTTTACTTTTTTTTCAATTTTTTTTTAGGTCAATGATGCCTTCCTTCATGTAACAGAGCGCAAATCCACGGGCAAGGTGCTCATCACCCTCAAATAAATCCTCACCTCAGTAGCAAACTCAGAATGTCCAAATCCACACTCATCATCTTTCCAAAAACCTGATTTCCCTCCTGTGTTTATAAAGTGTTACCATCTTCCTTATTAATTCAGGTGCAGAATCTTTTTTTTTTTTTAAGATTTTTATTGGGGAATTGGGGGGATGGGAACAGCATTGGGGAATCAGGGAAGGGGAACAGACAAGTTGCTGTCATTTTGTTCTTCAGTCTAGTTGTGGAGGACATTGCTTCATTGGCCCAAGCTGGCACCATCATTGCGCTCTTCCCGGGTGAGGCAGATCAGTCGCCGGCTTCTGGACGGCCGCTCACTGTGGCTGCTGGCCGCTCACGCTGGCTGCTGGCTACACACGGTAGCCCATGGCAACCCACTGCCACAGGGGCTGCAGCCTACACCGTCGCCGGCGACTCACGGCAGCCCAGCTCCAGACTGAGCTGTTGTTCAGCATCTTAGCTGTAGAGGGTAGTGTCACTGGCCCTTATATGTGGGATCCGAACCGGGGCCCTCTGGCGTCCCAAGCCAGCTCTTAACCAATGCGCCACTTGGCTGGCCCTTCAGGTGCAGAACCTTTTAGAGTCACCTTCAAATCTTTTTTCTTATTCTTCATAGTAAGTGTGATCATCTGCTTTGTTGTCCAGACTTGGGCCTGTTTGAGAGGGAAAGGATGCTCTTGGTAATTACACTAGGAAAACAGGTGTCCCAGGCAAACCAGGGTGTGTGGTCACCCCATACATAATGCATCAATGGCCAGGCTCTGTCGTCCCCACCTCGGCGATGTCTCTCACCTCCATGTTCTCTTTTCCATTCTGACTAATTATGTCTCATCTGCTCATTCCAGTGACTTACCAGGCTTTCCTACCTTTAAACCACTCCATGCATTCTTGTTATGCATTATTGCCATGGTGACCTTCCTAAAGCACAGCTATGACTCTGTCTCGTCTTAGAAAACCTACAATGGGTCACCATTGTCTACATGGTAGAACTCAGACACCTTTAGCTAGCCTTTCATGATGACCATGACTCTGCCCCTCTCTGCTTCCCAGCCTTAAGTTACACGACTCCACCAGTCCCACAGGATGCTCTGAGATTTCCTGCTGCCCCACTCCCTGCCCTTTGCTCTGCTCAGGCAATTTCCTGTACTCCCTTATCTCTGTCAAGCATAAGCTTTCCTGACCTGTAAGAACTGCTATGAGCCTTTCCCCCCAGGAGGGTGGTCATCTTTTGTCTTCCCCTCTACCTTCCTATAGCTTCACCCCTGGGATGTGTCACAGTCTGCCTTGTGCCAAAGGGAGCAGTGTATCTAGTGGAATGAACACAGGATTCTGAATCTAAGATGTGGGTTTGAATTCCAGTCTCACCACTTGGGAGGTGGTCACTTGAAGTCTCTGAGCCTTCATTTCCTCACTGTGCAATGGATATTGTGTTATCTACCTCACAAAGTTGTCTTGGGCAATACATGCAGTGACTGGCCAAGCGTCTGGCACATGGTAAGCGATTAGCAAATACTAGTTACTTTCACTTCTTTTTTTTTTAGCTGAGACATCCTGCCACCTGTTGGCAGTTCTGTTCGGGCCGGGAATTGAACCACTGTTGCTCAGAGCTCGCACTCTTGAGCGAGCTCTTAACCAACTGAGCCACTTGGCCGGCCTTTACTTTCATTTCTTTCTTTCTGACTTTCCCAATGTAACATAAGTTCCTTGAAAACAGGTACCATGTCTGAGACACCTTTGTACCTCCCACAATACCTAGCACAGTGAGTTACCCTCGGTAAATACTCAATAAATTGAATTGAATGTGAATTGCCTGCAAGTCTTAAATTGTGGGATGAAGTTAAGACTATAAAACAACCCAAATGTCCATCAACAGATGAATGGGTAAACAAAATGTGGTCTGTACAGACAATGGAATGTGATTCGGTCTTAAAAGGGAGGAAATCCTGACACATGCTATAACATGGGTGAACCTTCAAGACATTATGCCAAGTGAAAGAAGCCAGTCACAAAAGGACAAATATTGTATGATTCCACTTATAAGAAGTACCTAGTCAAATTCACAGAGACAGAAAGCTAGGTCAAAGTAAACTCCAGTCTCTGCCTGCGTTCTGGTGTGCGGGGAGAGGAGAGGTCCTGTACCTTGGCGGGATGCTAACCATGGTTGTCGACTCTTACTGCACGACTGATAATTCCTAAAAAGGAGTGTGGGGTAGGGATAAAAACAGATACCTGATGCCACAGGGATGGGGTACTTCTAGTTATTCTTGATGAGGCCCTGTTCCAGTAAACGTGGTATGAGCTTTTGTTTTCTGATAAGTGTCTTCAGCCATTTGAAAGTACCTATCTCCTCGGCCTCTTCACCAAGAGCTTTTGGAGGAACTGAGTTGTCAACTAGGGAGTGAACATTTGAGGAAAAGAATCCGAAACCAAGAAGTTAGCAGAAGAAAGGGGGAGGGGGAGATGTCAGGGTAGCCACCCACATGTTGTGTGTTGTAGGCCCATGAGGTGCTTTTGGGAGGGCTTAGCATATGCTGCTGCCTCTTCCATGCCCAGTGGCCACATTTTAGCCTTCTAGGGGCTGCGTGCCCCGTGGTTCCATGTAATGGCATGCCTCTCCTCATCTGCCTTTCCCAACCTTCCTTCTTAATGTGAGCTATTTTTTTGTATTTAAATGAAAGTTGGTTTTCAAAAATACCAAGACACCAGGCTTCGAGGCTAATGTTAGAATTTCCTGACACTTTTTGGGATAATTAAAGACATGCTGGATAGACCCCTGGGAATAATGACAAGCCAGGACTGGGAAAGTGGACTAGCCCAGCTGGGAGCTACCTTTCCCACTGCTCAGAGCTGATCAGCAGGTGTCACTAGTAATAAAGATCGATTTGTCCCCAGCTCACTAATGTCAAAATGACTTAGATTGAAAGAGGCAGTCATTAAGGAGAGCAGGTTTCTTTAGATTTAACAAGTATTGGTTAGAATCCCTAATGACCTGCTCTCTGCTTGCCTCCATTCCTGCTTCACTGGAATAATTTGATTTGAAAGCATTTGACTCATATTTTAGTCATCATTTGGTTATCCCACCACCTGAGCCATTAGTGAGTCTGAAAAAAGAAATCAATGCAGCTCCAAGTGACAGCCTTTATTCTATGTTCAGACTTTTCTCCAGCTCACCGTGGTAGGCTGGCTGCAGAGAATCACTCCCACACACCTGCCTTGCCTTTTCCAGGAACTGTGGGTCTCTCCACCTGCACACACCTATCTCCACCACCAAAGGGACGTTTTGTGCTATTAGCTGTGGAATAATCTTGCCTACACATCACCAGGATGTTTGTCCCTGCTCCCTTCTGTCGTCTGTGTGGCTTTAGGAAGCAGTGTTTTCTATTTGAGCTATGGTAAACACAACAAAAGGTTTGTTATTTGGCAAGTGAAGGAAAAATAAAGGTGCCTTCACATAATCGCTTATATTTAATAACAACAGAAAAATCTAAACTAAGAAAAATTCACGCTCTTCTTTCTTTCTGTTATTTTGCCTTCTAAAATTGTAGAAGTGAAGCCAAGAGCAGTGATTTTTCACAATTGTTATTGTTTGTAAAAGTCACATGAGGGGAAGACCTAACTGAACAGACATATTGCCGGTATGTCTAATTGTTCTCATGCATTTTGCTTCGTCATCACAGCCTATTGCTAGATTGAAAACTGGAGCTGGAAATACGCTAGTGTTTGGAACTTTATCATTGTTGAGGAATCATATTACAAAGTAGTTATTTTTTCCTTTTCTGATGTATTTAGAAATGGTTAGTTTCTTGAACTTTAATGAATTGCCTCATTATTTTAAAAATGGTGTTGTTAAAATAATTACAGCAATGCCATGGGGTCATTGAAAAAGTCAAACCAGCACAAAGTTTATGAGTAGAAATTATTGTCCTATTTTCCCCTATTCTGTCTCATTCCCAGTTTCCGGGGAAACCACTATAAGCAGTTTGGTGTTAGTCTTACAGACCTTTTAAAACACATACACACACACATGCATATACAGAGGTTGTTTGTTTGTTTGTTTTTTAAATGCAGACATACATAGGTTTTAAAAATAACTGATCAGAGTATAAGTATGGTTTTGTAATATACTGTTTTTAATCAATAATATGTCATGGGCATCATTCCGGTATTAGTAAATAGAACGTAGCTCATTCTTTTTAACAGCTGCTTAGCGTTCAATAATGAGAATGCATATCATACACAACCATTTCCTTATTAGTGGGTTTATTCATTTATTTAACATTTATTGACGCGCCTCTATGTGCCAAGCTCGGAACAGGACAGGGAATATCATGGTGAGCAAAAGGTTACAAATCTAGTGGGAGAGACAGGCATTAATTAAACTCACAAAACCATGCCAAACCAGTGCTGCGTAACACAGTGGGGAAATTTAACTCGGGGAGTTCAAGAAAGGGTTCCCTGAGGACAGACCCTGGACCACCTATGAGACGATGGAGGCTTCCAGGAATTTAATTCTAGTAATGTAAATAGGGAAGAACGTTCTAGAGACTAATGAAAGCATGATGAGTAAAAGTTGCTGAAAGAAGGCTAGTGGGGCTGGAGCTTGAGAAGTGAAGAGTGCTACGAGACGAGGCTGGAGGTGGAGACCCGATTAGGCAGGAGCTCGTGGGCTGGTTATGGGCGTTTGGCCTTGACCAGTGAAGCAATGGGACGCCATTGAAGTGTTCTGAGGAGAGGTGGGGTGGGGGCAGCATGACAACAATGGCATTTTGGAAGAATCCCTCCAGCTATGTGCTGTGGGGAGAAAGGATTGAGGAATAGACCAGTTAGGGATCCATGAAAGTCCGAACGAGAGATGGTGGTATCTTGGACTAAGGTGGTGATGCTGGGGAAGGTGAGAAATGGGCAGACCGGAGAGCATTGCAGGCGGTAAATGCGAAAGAACTTGGTGTCAGATTGGATATGGGTCAAGGTTAGGGGAGGGCGAGGGCAATGTCAAGGTGACTCCTAGGTTCCTGGGGAGGTATTTGAGAGGAGGAATGTCAAAAGAGAATTGGGTTTTGGCAGTGGAGGGAGATATGATGGGGGAAGAAGATGAAGTTTTTTTTTTAAAGAAATTTTATTGGGGAACAGTGTGTTTTTCCAGGACCCGTCAGCTCCAAGTCAA